GGGGGGGAAGGAAAATGAGCTGATTCTGGGAACCCAAGAGGCAAGCGAATTTTGGGAATGATGAGGGCAACAAATATATAGATGTGCTTTACACAATTGATCTATATATTTTAATGAATTTTATGAGCCCCAATAAATTGATTAAAAAGAAAATAAAATGAAAAAATAAATAAAATGAAGGATAAATAAAAGTAGATACATTAATATGAGACAGAGAGTGAAAGGAGAGAGAGAGAGAGAGAGAGAGAGAGAGAAGGTAATGAATAAAATAGGATCAGATCAAGGGCAATAGATCAGGTGTTCAACAGGAAATTTGGAATTAAGTTTGGAAAAGAGAAATGATACAAATTATATCAATTTTGATAAAGGGATGATAATTTGTGAAAAATAAATAAACAATAAAATAGTCTTGCCTGATAGTTTCAATGTACAGAGATATTGTTAAAGAGAATCCTCCAGTGTTTATTAATTAAACTACTTGTGTACTCAAAGGTATTAGACCCCATTCCCAGAGGAATTAGGGATATAGCAGAAGAATAAATAATTTCTCTTCAGCATATGAAATAGTGTGCGACAAAGAAAACACAAGGAATATTTGCAATGTGTTGCTTCTTAAAGCTTTAGAAATCAAGGTAAGTCATATTGAGGGTAAGCTGTGAAAAACAGCAAGGGAAATGGGAACGGGTTCATGCCTAGTGGTGTGAAAGAGAAAGAGGAGAATGCAAAACATGGGGAAAGAAAGCACATTCAAATACTCAGGAGTTCACATGATTTCTTTTATATATACATAGACCTATGAACACCCAAAGTCTTACAGGCTGAACTAAAAACACTGTGTCATTGAGGAGGGAGATGCACCAAGTTACCTTATGCAGGTTATGTTTTAAAACCTGTACAGAATACATAGTTCTAAACCTTGCATAAATGTGAATAGCAAGAATAAACCCTTCTACTATTTTCTAGAATTATACCAGTTATAATAAAAATGAATAATAAACATGTTTTGAATGAATACATTTACTAATCAATCAGTAAATCATAAAATGACCTAGAAAGCTAGACTTTCCTAAAAATAAGACCCCAAATTAGCCTGTGAACCCACTAATACAGGCAGCGGGTATAACAATATGGCTATGAGATTGGAAAATTAAGCAGAAGTGAAAAGAGAAAGTGTGTACTGTATTATATTTTATCCTTACCTTCCTGAGATACAATTTATGGGAAGAGATATAAATGCAGATTTTGTTGAAGTGGTTAAACAAAAGGTGAAGACAGAGGATATTAGTTTGAGGAAATAGATGCCGGTTATAATTTTGTTTGGGGGTCTCTTAGGGGCGCTGGGATTCAAACCATATTTCCAATTTCGGCAATCACTGAAGAATATATGCACACATATTGCAGACGTGCTCACCTGCTAACTGAACGATTGGCAGTTGAAATGCACCAACTGATCCGTATGACCAAGTTGTGGCAGTCTGTTCCTATAAAGCTTACAACCTTGGAAACCCTATCAGGCACTTCTACTCTGTCCTAGAATGTTGCAATGAGTTGGATGTGACCTGAGGGTAATGGAGTCCATTGGTGCAAAGAGTTAAAGGGTTCAGGTGTTAACTGACATGTTGGCAGCTCATGTCCATGCAGAGGCACCCCAAATGAAAGGTCTACTTCTGGAAAATTCAGTCATCTAAAACCTTCGGAAGTATAGCTCTACTGTGATACATGTGGGGCTGTCATGAGTCAGAATTAACTCAATGGCAATTGGTGGTCGTCATGGTATACAGGATGATTGAGCGGTTGTTTTGAACAATGTTTATGGATTGGAAATCGTGTTACCCTATGGAGAAGGGCATTTTTGAAAACTCTCTTGGTAAGTCCACAAGGATAGAGACAAGGATTTTTGGGGGGATGTAGACATGTTTTTGTTTTTTTTTGAGTTTCTGATATATACGGTTCCTAAGAGTGAGTGACAGGAGGCCTAGCGGTGTAGTGGTTATGTGTGGGGCAGCAATCCACACAGTCAGCAGTTCAAAACTACCAGCTATTCTGAGGGAGAAAGGGCATTCTTCTCTCTTAAACTCAGTCAGACCCACATGGGGCAGTTCTGCTCTGTCCTGTAAGATTGCTGCGAGTCGACATCAACTCGAGGACAGAGAGTTTGGTTTTTGGCTTAAGAGTGACTGAAATAGCATGCGTGTACGAGTCTGCTAATTAACCTACTGGCACTGGGAAAGGTCATGGAGGAGACAGCACATTCCAAGATTAGGATAACTGTTAAGTCCTTTTCTCACTGTTTTCCTTGCTCTCATCTCAACATATAGGAGCCCTAGTGACATCGTGGTTTAGAGTTGAGCTGCAATCCTCAAGGTCATCAGTTTGAAACCACCAGCCACTCTGCAAGAGACAGCTGGGGCTTTCTACTCCCTTTCACAGTTACAGTCTCTGAAACTCGCAGGGGCAGATTTACCCTGTTAGCAACTCGAGAGGGTCACTGTGAGTGTGTCTGAACTCGATGGCAGTGAGATCTCAAGATTAAACTCCTTCTCTCGTTCTAATTAATGGCTGTCTTTGAGTAAACCTAGCCTCCTCCACTGAATTTATCTGGTTCACCTATCCACCGATAACATTTTTCAGATATCCTTTTTAGAATTTCACTTTCATCCTTTCACAGTGTCTTCTTGAGGGTATGTGACAGGTCTTATTAAAACTTGATATTGGTGCATAATATTGGCTGGCACATAAAAATCCAAACAAGTTTCTGTTGAGTTGCTTCCTACTGTTACAGGCGCAGAGAGGAACTGTGCTCCAGAGGGTTCTCAAGGCTGTAGACTTTGGGAAGCAGAATGCCAGGCCTTTTTTCCAAAGCTCTTCTGAATGGATTTGAATCACCAACCTTTCCATCAGTAATCAGGCACCTAATTATGCGTCCCACTCAGGGACACTTTACGTAGAGGACCTCTTATCTGATGGAATACATTGTGAAAGGAAGTTTCCACAATTGTGAAAAGAAACACATCCTTGTGTTGTTCTACAAATGAAGATGACAAAATTTAACATAAAAATAAGTATTTATATTTTTCTCCTTCTTAAGAATTTTCCAGATTGTCTTCTATTTTCATTACCTGTCTGGTGTTAAAATGGGCATGGTTGTTTACCAGTCTTGATTTTAAAGTAGGGTATACTCAGGTTCACATACATTCATCTCTGATGGATACCACTCAAGTCTGTTTTACTTCATTACCCAAATAGTCCTAAATTTAAATTCAGGTTTTGGTGTAATCACAAAGATCACATTCAATCATGTCTATATATTTTGCAGAATTAGTTTTACCCCAAATATCCCAGTAATAAAATCAAATTTTAAATTCACTGTAAACACGTTTAGAGAATACTAAAACAAGTTTAGCAGCCTTATGACTATTATAAAATAAAATCACTTAATAATGCTAGTTCTCTGCTACGAAAGGGGAGAATTCATAAAGACAGTGAAACTAGGGAAGGAATTTTAGTAGAAATTAAACTGTAGAGCATAGGTTCCCAAAATTATTTGGCCTACTCGCCCCTTTTTAAAAGGAAAATATTATTCAGCTCCCCTTTGGCAACTAAACACTTTTTTACTCTGAGACAAGGTCCAGGATAAAGCGCAGGTACCCGCTTTTGCAGCCGCCCTGCTTTGCGCCATCACCTCTAAGGGGCAGCACCGCCACCTTGAGATGAACTGCTGCAAAGCGTCTACGTTGTTTCTTCCTTCTACCCATCATTCAAAGATAAGATAATATTTTTTAAAGGTCTGCCTCATAATATGTAGTCTTCTCCCCTGACCAGCTGGTCCATCCCCAGACATTTTCTTTACTTGATATATTTCCAGTGTGCTATCTAAATCCTAGGCTTGCCTAGATTAGAATAATTTCTATACTCTCTGCTTCTGCATAATGGCAAAATAATCTTTACCAAGTATCTCACTCTGCTTGATGTTATCCATTTTTTTCCAGTTATGAGGGAACTTGAATCATTTATTTTTTGAACCATCACTTTGAAATTACTTTCTGCCCTGACTTTTCCTATTTAGTTAGTTAATTTAGTATACTTCTAAAATTGAGAACACTTACATTGACAAACCTTTTCCTCACATATGAATAAGCAAAAATAACATTGTTTTTGTTCTCAGAATCAAATCCAACATTATTCAATAACACATATGCAAAATACACACATGCAGAGAGACACAAAGTATTTAAAAAATTACATTTCAAAGCTTTCACGTTCCCAAATAAGGGTATGATTGACATAACTATTGAAGAAATTACTTGGAAACTAAGCAAAAATCAGTTTAAAACTATCAGATATACAGATTCTGGAGCTTTCTCCTACTCATTTTTTTCTGGCCACTCTCTTGATTATTAAGTCTGAAAGGCAGTTATTTTTTCCCGTACTCGTTCCTTTTTTCCCAATCTTTTCTAGAAAAGAAAGCAGCAGAGAGAGGCTAATTCTATCGCTGGTACTATTTGAAACTCTGGTAAGTCGTGTGGGAACATGAAGAAAATATTTTCAGTCTTTTCTAAATGAGAAAATTAAAAATAATTTTGCATTTTACCAGGAACCTGGAAGAAAGGAAAGTGGAGGAAACATCACTAATGGAAAATTAATAATCGTCTCGGCATAAAAAACACCTAAACTTGATGGAAACCATGCCCATTCCTAATGACACCCAGTTCCATCCTTCTTCATTTCTCCTAGTGGGCATCCCAGGACTGGAAGATGTGCACATCTGGATTGGATTCCCGTTTTTATTTGTCTATCTTGTTGCCCTACTGGGGAATGCTGTTGTCCTGTTTGTGATCCAGACTGAGAACAGACTCCATGAGCCCATGTACTACTTCCTAGCCATGTTGGATTCCATTGACCTGGGTCTATCCACAGCCACCATCCCGAAGATGCTGGGCATCTTCTGGTTTAGCCTCAAGGATATATCTTTTGGAGGCTGCCTTTCCCAGATGTTCTTCATTCACTTTTTTACAGTCATGGAAAGCATTGTGCTTGTGGCCATGGCTTTCGACCGCTACGTTGCCATTTGCAACCCCCTCCGGTACACCATGATTCTCACCAGCAAAATCATCAGCATCATTGCAGGCATTGCTATCCTGCGGAGTCTGTACATGGTGCTTCCTCTAGTGTTCCTCCTCCTGAGGCTGCCTTTCTGTGGGCACCATATCATCCCTCATACTTACTGTGAGCACATGGGCATTGCCCGTCTGGCCTGTGCCAGTATCAAAGTGAATATTATGTTTGGTCTTGGCAACATTTCTCTTTTATTATTAGATGTGCTCCTTATTGCTCTGTCCTATGCCAGGATTCTTCATGCTGTTTTTCACTTGCCTTCCTGGGATGCTCGGGTCAAAGCTCTCAACACCTGTGGTTCCCACATTGGTGTTATTTTAGCCTTTTTCACACCAGCATTTTTCTCTTTTTTGACACATCGCTTTGGCCACAATGTCCCCAGGTATATCCACATCTTCTTGGCCAATTTATATGTGGTCGTACCCCCAGCTCTCAACCCTGTGATTTATGGAGTCAGGACCAAGCAGATTCGGGAAAGAGTGCTGAAGATTTTCTTCAAGAAAGACAGATAAATAGTTAAAGACCATTAATGGGTCTGTATCAAATTTCCTTATTTCCTCTACATGTAAACAGTGATGTTTCTACAGTGTAGCATAGCAGAGAGCAAGAGAGCAGGCTAATGACATTACTTTTTCTTGCTTTGAAACTTTTTCATCTAAAGGTAATGAAGAATTATTTGGAAGCTGGGCCAATGAGATATTACCAATGAAAAGACAAATCCAGATAGTTACCTCAAACTGGGCCATATACTTAAATAGAAGAGCTGAATGTATATATAAATGTGTAAATAGAACATAGGGGGGAATCTCCATAAAATTGGGTCAGTGAAAATTTCATAAATAGGTCAACAGCAACAAGCCAAGAAAAACCATTAAATAGACTTCATCAAAATTAAAAACTATTGTGCTTCAAAAGACCTCGATAAGAAAATGAAAAAAGTAACAGATGGAGAGGATATATCTGAAAATCCTCTAAACAACAAAGAACTTATATCCAAAATATGTTGTCTTATAACTCAAGTAGGAACCCCCCCCCCACCCGCAAAAAAAACCCCACAGAAACGCAACTGCCATTGAGTCAATTCCAGTTCATAATGAATCTGTAGGGCAGAATAGAACTGACTCATTTGTTTCTGAAATTTTAAGTCTTTGCAGGAGCAAGAGCCTCATCTTTCTCCCTTGGAGTCACTATAGAGATATAACAACTGACTTTGTTGTTTATCTGCTTTCAAATGGACTCTATATTTGTATATTTATACCATTAAAAAGGTATCTATTTAGTTAAGAAGTGCAGGAAATAATGTTCTATATAATTATTCTTTAGGAAAATGAACATTATAACCACAATGATAGACACCTTTGTACCTTGCAGGAGCCTTGTTAGTGCAACAGTCAACTAGTTAATACTAACTGAGAAGTGGGTGGTTTGTATCCACCAGAAATTCCATGAGAAGGACCTGGTGATCGGCTCACAGAAAGATTACAGCCTCGCAGACTCTGGGCAGTTCTACTTTATTTTGTCACATAGCGTCACTATGGGTCGGACTTGACTTAATGACACCCAACAGCAACAGGAGTACTATAATTAAAAGGAAAGTAACAAGTATTGGTGTGGATGAGGAGGAATTAATATTCTCATACATTCTATACTATAAAAGAGATCTACTTCGGAAAACAGTTTTGAAATTTTTTCAAAAGTTCACAATAAATTTACCAAATGACCCAATAGTCCCACTCCTATATATCTTTCTATGAGAAATGAAAATGTATTTACACTGAAAAATTTATCATGAATGACAGAGCAGCATTATTTACAGTAGACAAAGTTTCAGTGCTCCAAATGTCCATCAACTGGTGAATAACTACACATACAATGGAATAATTGACAGTAATAAAAAGTAATAGACTACAGATATAAAATCATTGAGCTCTAGAAACATTATTAATATGAAAGATGCTGAGCTAAAAAGTATGTTCTATCTCCTTTCCTTTTTATAAAATATTTCAAAAAGGTAAATGATGCATTATTTCAAGGAGTAGATTAGTGGTTGCCTGAGGCTTGGGATTGGGTGAAATAAAGAATGATTGGTGGCAGATATCAGAGATATCTTGAAATGACTAATTATTCTAAAATTGGACAGTGGTGATGATTTCGAAGCTCTATAATTTTACTAAAAATAATTGGACTGTATCCTTAACATAGTTGAATTTTATAATACATAAAACTTACTTCAATAAACTGTTAAAATACATGGTAAGGAAGACGAAGACTGCTCTCTCATGAGGCTATGTTCAATTTTTCTAAGGCTGTTCTTAGGTTTAAAGTCGATTTTCAAAATAAGAATCTGAATCCTTATGCGAATGAATCCTGCTACCCCCTAGCAAGTATATTCAATAGTGATTTCTCTAAGGAAATCTGTCCCCATTTTCCTGGTTGATCAAACATTAAGGAACAAGTACTACAAAGAACTTTTGAAGAATTTTGCACACAAGGGCTAAACTTTATCATGAGTTGATACTCAACTTTCTCTATTCCCCAGAGAAAGCAGTTAAAACCAACCCACCTCTGTCAAGTCAACTTCAATGCACAGTGACCGCATGTGTTTACAAAGTAGAACTGTGCCATAGGGTTTTCTTGGCTATAATCTTTATGAAAGCAGATAGTAACACTTTTCTTTCGTGTTGTCTCCAGGTAGGTTCAAATGGTCAATATTTTGGTTAATAATCAATTGCAAACTATTCATACCACCGAAGAACTAAGGGCGATAACAACAAAAATCCATTGCTCTTAAGACTATTCAGACTCACGTACCCCACAGAGTAGAACCTCCTCATTGAGTTTCTAAGGCCTCATTTTATCCTGGTTTTGAACAGAAATCTTTCCATTAGCAACCCCAAACTCAACCCATAGAGCCATAAATGTTACTTAAGGATATTTTACAGCCTAGACAGTACATGAAGTACTTGCCCTAACTCAGCTCAGATAGGATGCAATCTATTTGGAGACTGATATGATGCTAATTTTGAAATTTGAAATTTATAATTGGAAAATTGGAATAAATATATTGGCAGCTGGTGGAACGGTCATATGATTTCCTGACTAGTGGTGAATTGTCGTAAGCAAGCCCAAGTAGAAGCCTCTGACAGTGTAACTTCTCTAGCTCCATCCACAAAAGTCAGTCAAACAATACTATATTGTAGGCACGGTGGGCACTGGCAGATAACCATTTATTTTACCAGTTTGATCCTAGCAGGTATAAACATATAATGATCATTACAAAACCCAATTGAATTTAACCAAATTCTTCAATTATGGAAAGAGAAATGGTTTTATTTACAGATACATGTGAATGAATGGACAGAAAATAATTGCTTGATTGTTTTATAAAGGCTTTGAAAGAGACGTGTTGAACAAAATCTGAGTAAGAAGGCCTGAGGAAGATTTATATCGATGGATCAACAGGAGTGGATATTAAATATCAAGGTGTTTTATTTACAACCAGTCAGCAACACAGACATTGACAAACTATCATGCAAAGAAATCGACTATCTACTTCCATTCTGGAAAGACAAGCATGAAATATCTTATGTATAGAATTTTAAGTTATTTTCTTAGTAGCTACAGTGGGGTTTACAATAATATTCTAAATCTAAATGATTTAGCTTGAGTTGCTACTAATTTAGCTTCAATATCACACAAAATCACTGTTCCTATATAGTTCAGTCTCCTCCTATTAATGTTGTTCTAGTCACAAAACACACACACACACACACACAGTTTGCCAACTGAGATAGAATTATAATTATTTTTGTCTATTTGTCTTTCATATCATGTAGTCAATAAAAATAAAAATCAGAAAGAATATGAAAACAAAATTACTGACTTTATATTTACTTTTCTTGCAGGGTTTCCCAACCCCCACCCTCCCTCAAATGACCTTGGTTGCTGTCTCTAGTAGCCTCTAGTTTCATTCTCTAATTTACTTTCATTTCTTAGGGGGCCTATTTATTAGCAAAGAACTTCCTCAATTTTAGTTTATTTGGTAATTGCACAATTTCCCCTTGCTTTTTGAAAGATAGTTTTTGCTGGATATAATATTCTGGTTTGATGTTTTTTCCTTCCAGCACTCTAAAAGATCATCCTACTTCCTTCTGGTCTACATGCTTTTTTGAAGGAGACATCTGCTGTTAATGTAACAGCCTAGGAGTTTTTCCTATGTCCTATCCTTCTTGGTATATCCTGAACACTGTATTTTATCTTGTTAGAACCTTAAGAGTTTCTTAACTATACTCTATTTCTCATCTGTTTTTTCCTGCTTACCTTATGCAGATTAAGAATCAGGAAATAGCTGGGGTGGGGGGAGCACTGTGGACATTTGTGTTGATGTCTTTGCACCTGGTGGTGTAGTGATTACACATCAGCAGTTCAAAACCACCAGCTACTTCGTGGAAGAAAGATCAGTCTTTCTATTTACATAAAGAACTACAGTCTCAGAAACCACCAGAGGCAGTTCCACTTTGTCCTATAAGATAATTATTCATCTGAACTGACTGTAGGGCAGTGAGTTTGAGAACTTTTATTGTCGTTGTTGTTTGTTCTTTGTGTCTATTTTTACACTCTGGGATCTTGGCTCCAAAAGCCCTGGCTACAAAAGCACACAAATGATTTTTTTTCCATTTGACACTAATAATTTGACTAAAACTCTGCCCATTCCCTTGTTTTTGAGTGACTGACCATGGCCCTGATCCTCATCTTCATTCCCTGCTTGTGTAATCATTAGATATCTGAAGGAAAATGCTAAGTATAAAGGTTGGCTCATCTTTCTCTAGGAAATTAGGGCCTCACATCTTTGTTTATTTTAACATGTTTCTCAACCAAATAGTTTATAAGGAGTAAGAGAAACTGATTGTAGACACATCAAGGTTTAAGCTATGTTAGAGAAGATACAGAAAAAGGAACAAGGGATGCTAGACAAAACAAGTCATTGAAGAAGATGGCAAAGAATTATCTTAATAGTCCAGGTGTTAACCAGAACTTAAGCTTTTAATGAAAAACAGAAAATGCAGCCTCTCTTTGGAAGGAAAAGTTTAAATGACTTTTGCCTTTTAGTTCCTGTGGATACAGGGTAATGCCTTAGGAGAACTCTCCAGTGATTATCCCTTAGTCAGAAATCCAAGGAGATTAAAATCCCCAACCTACTGAGCACAGGATGGCAATGCCCATATAAATGCCTATTCATTGCTCAGGAAAGTGTGATCCCAGGGAGATGCTAGATGATGTGTTCAATGTCCAAACTCTCAGCAGAGACATTTGGAAATCAAGGTAACCTTGTTTATGCTGGTTTGAGCTGTGTCAGATCAATAAAAATTTGGAGAACAAATTCATGCTGATACAGGATAGAATTAAAATGCATCTTGTGTTCTTGGTATATCTTGAGAGTGGCCTAGAAATTACTGTTCAATCTACAGAAGTGAGAGAAGGTCTTATAGAGGGTCATGGCGTCCAAGATGTAGATGTTAGAATAATGAATTGACCCCACTGGCGATATAGAACTATTGATAATTTTGCTTCACATTCTTCCCAAACTTCTTTTACTGGAAAAAAATTGTATTTGATTTATTTTTCCTCCTCCATAATGTTTATTTGAAAGCTTTCCTAACACATACTGAGTTAGTTAATTGTGCCAGCCTGGCCGATAATCACATGTGGGTCTGGTTGAAAGGCAGAGGGATAAATGGGTGGTGAAGCCTCGCCTTTCTAGTTCTCGGGTCGCTTGTTTTGTGATGGTTGCACCGGGTGCAGCTGCCTTAGCAGTTCCCTGCTTCAGCTTGCAAGATTGACTTCCTACAAGACATCCCCAAGGAGAAGCTCCATGGACCTATCCCGATGCAGCCCTGGGTGCTGGAGCAGCCATGTGGAGATCCCTGCTAGTGCTGAGATGCTTGTTCGTTCACTGACTCAGCTTTCCTCCTGCAGTCGGCATCATTGCCTCTGTTTTGTGAGGTGGAGGACTTTGTGGACTGGTGTTGGGTATGGGTTAATGTTGGACTTGTGGGCTTGGGCAGCATTGGGTTGGGATGTTTTCGTGATGCACATTTTCTTTGCATAAAACTCTCTCTTATACATGAGTTGCTGTGGATTTGTTTCTCCAAAGTACCCAGACTAATACACATACTGACAACTTTTAATGGAATTTTTGTATTATAACACATTATTTCATTCAAATTTCATTCTGACTCCATCACTAAATATTGAGAAAATGAGCAAAATCTTTTCATATTCTCTGTCATAATTCCTTAATGCAAGGCCTACTACATAGCAGAAAATCAATTAATATTTGCTAAAATAATCTTTGAATGGTACTTGTGTACTTTCTTTGTTGATCCATTTATATCTGACAGTTTCCCAGGACAGAACTGCGAAAAGAAATATATCTTTTCTCAAATATATTTTATGTCTTAGCAAAGTAAATTATTTATGCAGTTTCACTATTTTTCAGACTTTGTTTCAAATTATTTCTCATTACTTTTGCTCTTCACAGGCCCCACATGTACCACAATGTGTGCTAGAGTTTGATCCTCTTCTGTGTTAAAGGAGAGTGTGGTGCCTTTTGGGTGTATTCCTCTCCATAGGGTGTCACTATAAGATGAACTACTCCAATCTCTGGCAGTTTGTAAAAATATTTCATCTCAGATATAGCTACCTAATAATAAACTTCTATCTCAGTTAACTCAAGATATTAATTCACAGTAAATATATTCAGTATCTGAGACTCAAGCTAGTTGCCATAAAGCAAAATCACTTAATGTGATAGGTAGGGTTATCATGCCAACCTGACCAATAAACACATGTGGGGTTAATAAGGTTGCAGTTTAATTGAAGGGCAAAGAGATAAATGGCACCGCAAGCCTTGCTTTTCTGTCTCTTGCTCTCTGATGATGGGACCAGTGTGCAACTACCTTAGCTAGTTCTCTGCCTCAACTTGTAAACTACACTATCTGTGGGACACCCAACCCATGGACTGTGTAGCTATAGTTTGAGGATTCTTTGAGACCTGCTTTGCCACACTGCTGGTGTATATATCATTTGAGTTGGGGACTGTTGGACCCTGTCACTCAGCTAACTGTTGGTGATCTGCCCTGCTGTTGCTTCCTGTGGCTGGATTGCCTGTATTGCCCTGAAGAAGACTCAGCTGTCTGCTTCTTTGACTTGCACTCAGCAACCCTCATGAGTTGAAGGACTGCCAGTGTATTAACTGCCTCACAGAAGTGAGTTGAACTGAGCTATTTGTATTGCTCTGTGGACTAAATAGCTGTTTATTTCTTCTTATCTATCTATCTATCTATCTATCTATCTATCTATCTATCTATCTATCTATCTATCTATCTATCTATCATCTATCTCTATCTATCTATCTATCTATCTATCTATCTATCTATCTATCTATCTATCTATCTATCCATAATCATATGTGTCCTGGTTTTGTTTCTCTAGAGAACCCTAACACACATAATAAATATTTTTTGTTTAGTATTGAAAAGAGGATATTCAGAAAGACAAAAAGATCTGCATAGATGGCGGCTCTGCTAGACTCTAGTCTGAAACGAGCCTTTTTCCCCATATAAAAGTAGTTAGTTTAGGTCGAATTTAAACAGGGTATAGCTCAGGAATTAGGAAAAATTTTAAATGTCCCTAATTGGTCACATGGGAGATTGCTAAAAAAGAATTTGAGTTTTGTGGATTTGATGAATTATGTGACCAATACCATTTCAACTTAAAATATTTCATAAGCTTCAGTTTCATACAAACTTAAAATATTCACTTCCTTGTCTTTATTCAAAGTATCAGTTATAAATGGCTTTTAGTAAAAAATGCTATTATATTTCTGGTCATCTGGGGAGCAAGACTGACTTTTGTTCTACCTTCCCTCCATCATTCATTCACTCCACAAATATTTTATTTGAGAATTTATAAACAGTATTGTTTCAGGTGCCCGAGGAAAGAAAAATGAATTGTGATCTCAGAATCACAGTGTTAGAAGTCTACATGCACATTCAAACATGTATATTTTAAATAGATCCATAAGCAAATGCATTGGATTACATGATTTTTTTCATGCACACTCAGAGTAATGGGTGTAAAATCACCAGATACAAAGAACAAATACAACTGTTTTATGTCATTTGTTTTATTCTTGATCTTCATAAATAGTCTCATATGGGTGGAAATGACTTTAGGAAGAATGAGTCTGGCTCTATTCCTGGAGTCATCTGAAAGATGGTCAGATAAAGATGACAGAAAAGTTTGGATATATTGCATGGAAGAAAAGAATGTTATGTTGTCATTTTGTATTTTATCAGAAATCTTGAAAAAGAAGGATGTGGAGCAAGAACTATTAATGGGAAATCAACATCTCACTTTGATATGCACAGGAACCAACAGTGGCAGGAAGAATGCAGATTCCTAATGACACCCAGTTTCACCCTCCTTCTTCATTCCTCCTAGTGGGAATTCCAGGGCTGGAATATGTCCACATCTGGATTGGATTCCCTTTTTTGTTTGTGTATCTTGTTGCATTACTGGGGAATACTATTGTCTTATTTGTGATCCAGACTGAGAAAAGCCTCCATGGACCCATGTACTACTTCCTGGCCATGCTGGACGTCATTGACCTTGGCCTGTCCACAGCCACCATCCCCAAAATGCTTGGCATCTTCTGGTTTAACCTCAGGGATGTATCTTTTGGAGGCTGCCTTTCCCAGATGTTCTTCATCCATTTCTTCACTGCCATGGAAAGCATTGTGCTTGTGGCCATGGCTTTTGACCGCTATGTTGCCATTTGCAACCCTCTCCGGTACACCATGATTCTCACCAGTAAAATCATCAGCATCATCGCAGGCATTGCTATTCTACGAAGCTTGTGTATGGTTGCTCCACTGGTGTTTCTCCTCCTGAGACTGCCTTTCTGTGGGCACCATGTCATCCCGCATAGCTATTGTGAGCACATGGGCATTGCCCGTCTGGCTTGTGCCAGCATCAAAGTCAACATAATATTTGGCCTTGGGGATATGGCTGTTTTATTATTGGATGTGTTTCTTATTATTCTATCCTATATCCGGATTTTATATGCTGTTTTCCGCCTGCCCTCCTGGGAAGCCCGACGCAAAGCTCTCAACACCTGTGGCTCCCACATTGCTGTTATCTTAGCCTTTTTCACACCAGCATTTTTCTCTTTTTTGACACATCGGTTTGGTCACAATGTTCCTAGGTATATTCACATCTTCTTGGCCAATTTATATGTAGTTGTTCCACCAGCCCTTAATCCCGTAATCTATGGGGTCAGGACTAAGCAGATTAGAGAGCGAGTGTTGAGGATTTTCCTCAAGAATGATATCTAATCAGTCAAATCATGAAGGGTTTGCCTTACAATTAACATTTGCCCCCATATATTTATAAGAATGAGTTTATTGTCTAACAAAATAGAAGTGTGTGTAGGAAAGGTGAATACAACAAATAGAAGCTTTTGATTTTATGGATAATAATAAATTTATTGGATTTTATGGGGATTGTGTTTTACAACGCTCTCATATTTTCCTTGTTTGATTATCAAGGTGGCCTTCTAAAGACTCGTTTCTCAAGTGTTTAGATGAGCAGTTTGAAATGTAGAATGGTTAGATGACTCATCTCAAAATTTCACACTTAGTGGGCGGTAGGTAACTAAACAAGATAGTTTTACATTTGCAGTAGTTTCTGGGCCATCGTAGAAATATGAAAGCAAAAGAATGCAAATTTCTCAGACATTATAGACAGTTAGTGACAAAGTTTTAGAAGTAAAAAGTAATTATAATACATAACTCTTTTAATATTTTCTGTCCCAAACAGTGAACTTCAAATTGCACATGTGTTCTAGAAGAAGAAAGAGACCCTGAATTCAATATAATACAGAACTACACATTTATTCCGTCTGTAACAGGGTAAAGACAAGAAAAGTGAAGTCATCAGAATGAGACCATATTGAGATCAAAGCTAGCGCACAAATATGGCCGCCTCAATCAGATATGGAGAAAAAAAGGAACTTTCACAGTTTGATGATTGGTAGCAGATCAATTCATCATTATTGCAGGCAGGACTGCATAAGTGGAAAAGGCACCATGATTGAGATACGCATAATACTGCAAATTAGCACAGCTTACAAGATTGCAGGGCCTCTGACAATGACTGTCGCAGTATGACTCATGATTATGCTACCCTATCATAGTGAATCAATTTCCAAGAAGGTCACACGTACCTAGATGGTTCTGTAATGGGGAGTGGTCCCTTCCTAGGATGGACAGGAGAGTGTAGCTGTACACTTTCAAATACATTATGCCTGAGGGCACACCTTTTCACATTGTTGGTCAAAAGATCAGAAATAATTGAATTTTTGTGGGGACTCAAACATGGATTTAGTGTTCTCATTGTAAACCAGAACCTTCTGCTAACCTGGTGCTCAGAACTTAAGATTTAACACACTTACCAGAATATTGTGGTAGAGTTACTTTGATTGCTTCTATTTTAATTCGAGTATACTGTGGGTTTGAAAGTTCTCCTGAACAGATTGTGTTGAAAGTTTGGTGCCTGGTGACCAGAAATAGAAGAAGCCATACACTCAGAAATGAAATACAGAAATGGCATAATGGTCCAAGAATCTCAAACCCACACTCACTGCCATCAAGTCGATGCTGACTCATGATGACTCTATAGGATAGGGTATAACTGCCTCCATGAATTTCTGAGATTATAACTCTTTATAGAAGTAGAAATCTCCATCTTTTTCCTGAGGAGTGGCTGGTGGTTTCAAACTGCTGACCTTGTCATTAGAAGTCCACTGCATGAATATTTATGGCATTAAATTTATTAAGATCTGTATACACATTGTTGTATGTGGCTATTTAGTCATAGAAAAATGAAAAGACCGGATCCTATGTGCTGAGAAACCCATGCTGGGTGATATAGACTATTAAGGCTAAGAACATCATAGTATGGGAATTTGCATTAATTCATACTAGAGATTTAGAAGTGTTGGGATTATATATAATATATACGCAGGTGCTGATTCAAGCTATTGAAGATAGTTACATAAAGTTAGAAATATATTTTACTGTGCTCCACTCTTGTAAAAATCATAATGTAAAGTCTTGACGGGTAAAAAAGAATGTTACTTGAAGATGGATTCAAATGAATCTTTCAGAGTTATGCTCTCTTTCTTATTTCAGTTAAAATATCTGATTCTGTAGCAATTTACTCATATAGAACCTCTACTGTGTAATCTAAATAGGTTATAGAGAAATAAAGACTTTAAAAATTTGCTTTTTAAATTCGGTTTCTAATTTGGGCAATACGGTTGTAAACCAGATATCATAGTTATTTATGTATTATACTTAATAAAATATATTGACAAGTTACATTTTGATTTTTGTATTGTTTAGACATATAGAATAAAAATGAAGGCCCTAAATCATATGAATAATCAGGAAACAGAAAGCTTAATTAAATCAAGGTAGTCTGCATATATAGAACTCTCTGACACAGAAAAGGTAAGGAAGTTTTAGTCATTCAGAGAGACAGAACAAGGACATCTCTATTCATATCTTTTTTTTAATCAATTTATTGGGGCTCATACAATTCATCACAATGCATAGTTCAATTGTGTAAAGCACATCTATACATTTGTTGCCCTCATCATTCCCAAAATGTGCTTTCCTCTTGGGTTCCTGGAATCAGTTCATTTTCCTTTTTTCCCCTCCCCATCCCTAACCCCTCCCCCCTCCCCCATGCACCCTTGATAATTTATAAATTATTATTATATCTTATATTACACTGCCCGGCGTCTCCCTTCACCCACCCCTCTG